CCTATAATTTCAATTAAACTCATGCACCCTATAATTTCAATTAAACTTGTAGGGAAATGATCCGACCGAATCAATGGATGAAGAATTGAGATGGGTTTCCATGGGTTTTGACCCTGCCGTCATGACATGCCAAAAGTATGATGTGAATGGGTATCGCTTCCATACAGAGGAGCACCAGAACAGTCGGCCTGATCCCAAAACCATAAATACCGGAGTCTTCACTGAAGGAGATAATAAAGTAGATTACTACGGAAGGGTAGGAAAAATATACGAGCTTACATTCAAACGTGGTCGCGAACACCTAAGTCTCACTGTGTTCAAATGCCGATGGTTCAACCCCAAAAAGGTTCTGAGACATATGCCTTCTGTTGGTTTAGTTGAAGTTAAACCATCAACCGTCTATGCCGGAGCTGATCTCTTTATCGCCACTACACAGGCCACACAAGTATATTATCTGCCTTACCCATGCCAGAAAGATTACCTAAAGGGTTGGGAAGTTGTGTTCAAGGTGTCGCCGCATGGTAAGCTACCGGACCCGAACGATGATGATTACTACAACATAAACCCCATGACATACGAGGGAGTGTTCTATCAAGAGGAACATGATGACGTGGTCCGAAACAACGAGGATGATGACTTGGGTTATGTTGACCTGGACCCAAACGACGACGACGCACGGATTGATGGTGAGGCAGTTGTGAATCAAAGAGACATAATTATGCTTGAAAAGTTAAATGAAGACGCTGATGATGAGGAAGAGCCTCCACCTCCGTCAGACAACGAAGAAGATATGCGTGATAGTGATGATGAGACCGGTCCACAAATAGATTATAATAGTGATGATTCATATGGGTTCTAGAAAATGTAAGTTCTTTTAATGATCATTACAATAGTATGCTTAATGTGCTCTTCTGGTATTAATGTTTTTCCTATATGCTTGTTTAATTGATATCCTTACTAATTGTTTATTCTTTTCTCAATGCAGGTTTGCTAATCATGGTCAAGTCCAGCGGCACCAGTTTCCTCAGTAAATTCAAAGGACTTACTCGGAGTGGACGAGCCCACAAGGTTCCCTCCCGACTACGCGAGGATGACACCTCACAGGGAGGTGGAGGGGTCGGGGGAGGAGACCCTAGAGGAGGAGGCGGTGGGGGGAGAGCCCCTAGAGGAGGAGGAGGTAGGGGGAGAGGCAGCCGGGGCAAAAAATTCTGGGCCGTGTTCGAAATAGGAGGGTCCTCTTCGATGCCCTCCTATACAGAGGCACCTTCTGAGTCTGAGGAGGAGGAGTATGTTCCTGATGGCGAGGAGGAGGAGGGGGAGGAGGAGGAGGCCGAGGAGGAGGAGGCTGAGGAGGAGGGTGAGGAGGAGGGCGAGGAGGGTGGAGGGGATGTTGATCCCGAGTTGTGGGGTGACTTGCCACCGGGTGCTCTGCAGGGGTGGCTGCGTGGTAATGCCGGACTACCTACACCACCTTCTATCGAGGAGCACAAGTGGCTCATTGAACCTGTGGGGACAGAGTAAGTGCCTCTCAATCATATTTTCAAAACATGACAACATTTTCTTATTGTACACATGGCAATCATTTGAATCTTTTGCAGAAACTGGATCCTTCACGGAAAGGGCCGTAAACCGAACAGCCTTATCATTGTCCTGTTGAAGGAGTTTTGGCCTGGCCTATTCTGCCCGCGGCCAGACAGGGACCCGCAGCTGCGGGTTTTGGCCACGAGCTAGGCCCACTACGAGGCTTGCAGCAACGCGAAGTACGGGACGGCCGCTAAGGCCGTGATCACCAAATTTTGGTTAAGTTCTCTTCTGAATCACTTGTCTTCAGTTTCGTTCATAGTTTATCATTGAATCACTCAACTCATGCCTTGTTTGCTTTTGGTTTATGCATGATTGCAGCAACTCTATAGAGTTCTTGACGAGCACAAGGCCAGAGCCGACGTGGTCTTCCTTGCGGCTGCGAAGAAGAAAGCTCGTCAGTTGCAGTACGAGGTGCGCTGGGTTGCCGTCTCGCAGTACTACCACATTTACTTGCAACAAAAGATGACCAAAACTCAAGCGCAGAGGCAACGACTTACCTAGAACAGGGAGCGGTTCATGATGCTAACTATTACTAACTTTTCATTGTTTCAAGCAGTCAACTATATGTTTCGTGCTCACATGTCATGCTTCCAAAATTAGCATAGGTTGTTCCTCGTTGGTGCTATGGAAGGCATGACGGATGGGCGAGTTCGGTGGATAGGTGGCTCGGCGCCGATGTTGAGTTTGCTACCAAGAGCATCAAGGCCCGGGCTAACCGTGGAGCCGACGGGACACACGACCAAGGAAACAGGAACCACTGGGGCTTCAAGGCCATGAAGGTATATCTATGTGCATGATGCATTTTTGTTCTTCTTTACCGTCATGTTCTTATGTATGGCTAACTTCTATTTGACGTTGTAGGAGGACAAGTTGAAGAGGCCACTCTGAGACATGGAGTCGTGGAAGCTGGCCCGCGAGCGGAGTCATCGCAAGGAGGGCGAGAGCCAGTACTACGGCAAGACCGAGGAGCACCTGGGGTCTTACATTCATCACTATCAGGAGTTGCATCTGGATGTTCCTGTTGCTGAGGTCGCCCAGTCTCAGATCGACGACACGGCGGTGGTGGCCATCCAGGGGAAGAAGAATGGCCGGTATCCGTGTTTCGACGGCTTGATCACTCCTTCGATCTCCTACACACGGCTTCGGGCTACCAACCCGAGCTAGTTAGAGAGTACGGGGCGTTCACAGACTCCCTTAGCCCGCCAGCATGCTGTAAGTACTTCCTCTTTATCTTTTTCTATCTAGCATTCTAAGTTTATTTTCAGCATTGCTCACTTAGAAACAACCTAAATTATGTAGGCATATAAGGAGTTTGTCGAGCATAGGAATCTCGAGGTGCGGAAGTACTTGAAACGAGTGAAGGCAAACGATGATTACAACCATCAGATGATGACGGTTAGTTTTGCCCTCTTAAAACCAAGATAAATGTTTGCACTTTCATTCCTTCTGATCTTCTAGTTTGCTTGTTTAACTAACATTCAGGCTATGTTGGCGTCTTGGAGTAACCGCACGGATCCACCACAAATGGGACCCCCACCACCACCTGCGGGAGAACCCCCACACGTGCCCACGTTCGATGAATGGGTGGCACTAGGCAGTGATGGTCCGGTTAGTACATTTGCCTAACTACTGGCAAACTAGTTCTCGTTCATTCAACACTATCACATCATATTTACCGTTAGAATCGTTTCTGAAACATGCAGGGGACCGGTGGCTCGACTACTGCTCCGTCGACCCCAGTCACTCCGATCTGGCAGAGTGGTGGTGGTCGCGATGGCGGTTTTGGCGGAGGTGGTGGTTTTGGCGGAGGTGGTCTTGCTTGATGATTCCGTGCATGTGGCCATCGTGCCATGCCTTTCATATTCCTACTTTTATGATGTTTCATGTCTTGCACTACTTTTATGTTCATGAACTTCCGTCGGTGATGATCTTTAGATGATGTGATGAATTTGAGTATGTTTAGATGATGATGGTGAACTTGAGTATGTTTAGATGAACTTGAGTATGTTTAGATGATGAATTGTCATATTTCTGCATAATTTCATATTGTTCTGTTTTGAAATGCTGTCAAATGAATTGGAAAAGAGAAAACAGGGGAAAAAACTATGCCTACGGCAAAGCTGTCGGCATATATACGCCCAGGAGTTACCAGGGCTCGCCACGTGGCATATCTATGCCGACGGCTTTGCCGTAGGCATAGATGGAAATCTATGCCGACGGCTTTGCCGTAGGCATAGCCCTGCTGCTAGGAGTAACCAGGAAATGACACGTGGCAGAGCTATGCCTACGGTAAAGCCGTCGGCATAGATTCATCTATGCCTACGGCTTTGCCGTAGGCATAGCCCTGCCACCGGAGTACCACGGGTTGCCACGTGGTAGAGATATGCCGACGGCAGCCGTTGGCATACCTCTGCCACGTGGCGTTGCACGATTCGTCAGTGCTTTTGACGGCGCCGTCCGTTGCCGTCAGACGCAAAACACTGCCGACGGCTGACACCAGGCCATCGGCATAGGCCCCTATGCCGACGATTATACTATGCCGACGGTCTGACAAGACTACGCTGACGACATCTACGCCGACGGGTCTATGCCGACGGCAACCGTAGGCATAGATCTATGCCGACGGCTTAGGGGCCTATGCCGACGGCGCGTGGCCGTAGGCATAGACCGCGAGTCCTGTAGTGAGCGCCGTAGCTCTGAAGATAACCTACAAAAAATGAAAGTGTGTTATCCTATTAAAAACCAAATCATTCCTGCAATTCCAGAGCGCCCACACCAAGGCGCAGACTCCTACATGAATATGTCGCACTCACCCGGGCTCTACCCCATTAAGCCATGTTTCAAATAACGTGTTGACTGAACTCGGTAGAGAAAACCCACCCCTCTAAAGTGCATAGACTGTTACTAGTTTCTGCCGTTAGTCAAAGCTAATGCAAGCTGCACAATGTCAAACTCGAAGGCATGAAGCATAGGATAGTCACGGACATCAGTGGCATGAACTGGCCATCATGACACAACCGCTTATGAAGAAGAAGTCAGGAAAGCCAAAAGTCTACCGTCAATCGATCACAGCATTTGTGCACGTCTTGCGGCGCACCAGCGAGAGGCGGTTGACCGACTAGCGCATGCAAGTCAACCATCGCCCATGTGATCTGCTCATCTCTGCATGCCCAAACTTAGTAAGCTTGGAGCACTGTTTTCAAAGGAACCGTGTAAGCTCATATATATGAACAGCTTGGCATGTGCACATGTGGTGTTACACTAATTAATCCTACATATGATCGAGTTGCACGTTCTGGTTGCATGCTACTGCGTGCCTACCCCAACCGGGTATGTTAGTTCTACAAGTACTGGCTAGCTGCTGGCCGGCTGTGTGCCTGTGGTGGATCAAGGACCGCCGACGAGAGCAACAGCAAATGGCGACCCGGTGGCTCTTGCTTCTTCTCAGTATCGCCGAGAGCAGCGTCGTTCTTCAGGTCCATGGCCAGATCGACAAGTTAGCCGGTGAGCTCATTCACTACAGCTCTAGGCTGAGGGCCATGCCTTTCAGTATCTTATTGTGCGCACCTGTATATATATGCAGGTTTCATAAGCATAGACTGCGGCCTGCCAGAGAACGCCGCCGGCTACGTGGACAACACGACGAAGCTGCGGCTCACCGGGGACGCTGGCTTCATCGATGCAGGCACTAACCATAACATCTCTGCCGAGTACATCACCCCGAGGCTGGCTCGGGGCTGGCACACCGTGCGCAGTTTCCCTGTCGGCGAGCGCAACTGCTACACGCTCCGGCCACTCGTGTTGGCAGGGCCCAAGTATCTCGTTCGCGCCATGTTCAAGTACGGCAACTACGATGGTCTTGACATGCTGCCCATCTTCGACCTCCACCTCGGGGTTAACTATTGGAAGACGGTGAACATCTCTGATGCAAGCTCACCGGTGATGGAGGAAGTCATCGCCGTTGTCCCAGGTGGCTCCGTGCAGGTGTGCCTGGTGAACACCGGCTCCGGGACGCCCTTCATTTCCAGCCTGAGCCTAAGGCCCCTCACCAAAGCGCTCTACCCGCAGGCTAACGCGACGCAGGGGTTGGTTGTTGTCAAGAGGTCCAGCTTTGGCAGCAAGGGTATCAGGTAAGCCCGTCAAGCATCAAGCGTTATAACTTAGATGACATAAAAAGTCTGATTTTTTTTTTTTTGCCATACGTCGTCCTCACACGGCTGGATTGCACTTATCATTATGTGGAAGAAAACACATGTTCAAAATTATCCTGATGCAAACATAAATGAAATTTACCTGCAGTAGAAGTAGAAATAATCTCAGTTGACTATTAAATTTTGTGATAAACTCAAGCATGCCATGAAACAAACTCTCGTCCCGCTTTATAGACAAGGGCGTAGCCAGGCCGGCCCCAGGCAACTAGGGCCATGGCCTGGGGCATGTCTGTGCACTTGTTTGTTGACTGTAGCCATTTTTAGCACTGTAGATACTGTATTTACTATAGCTTCAGCTGTTGGCCCGGGGCGTCGGCCTGCGCTGGCTATGCAACTGTTTATAGATAAAAGCACAAGGCATGTCATACCAAAGTAGTAAAATTCAAGCATGCATCTTCTTGCATTTGTTGACAGTAAAATTTTGATACGCAGATACCCAGACGATCCTTACGACCGTACATGGCTCCCGTGGTTCGATCCCACGCAGTGGTCGGAGATCTTGACGACCAAAAGTGTGATAAAGGTTGAGAGCTTCGAGGTGCCGTCTGCGGTGATGCAGTCCGCCATCAAGCCACTCAACTCCTCTACCTCCATCTAGTTCTCCTAGGACGCGAAGCCGAACGCCAACAACCCTATCCCAAGGTATATTTGCATGATGTACTTTGCAGAGCTCCAGAGCAACGTGGTGCGCGAGTTCTACATCAGCATGAACGGCAAGCTTTTTTACCCTCACGTCATGTCTCCGCGGTACCTCGTAAGCGATGCCATCCACAATGACAGACCCTTCCACGGCTTTGACCGGTATGACATCTCGCTGAATGCCACCGTGAACTCGACGCTTCCACCGATCATCAACGCCGTCGAGGTCGTGTCGGTCTTCCCTACCACTGGCGTACCCACGGCAACTCAGGATGGTAACCAGTTACTATTTTCAGAAAACAAAATCGGTCATGAAGCTAGATAGCAATTATATTTCAGCTGATTTTAGGTCGCTGATAAGAGCTTTGTGTGTTGCTGGTGAGAAATGCAACAGTTTCTGCAGTCACGGCGATCAGAGCCAAGTACCAGCTGGTGAAAAAGAACTGGATGGGGGATCCTTGTGTGCCGAGAAAATTTGCGTGGGATGGATTGGGTTGCAGCTATGTTGTCTCCAGCACACCAACTGTCACAGGCTTGTGCGTTAACTTTTTATGGAAAGATTGTTCATTGCATACTAGGAATTATTTGAACTGATGTATACATATATATACACTGCAGGAACCTATCTTCTATGGGTCTGAGTGGCAACATCTCGTCTTCTTTTGGGGATCTCAGAGGATTAGAGTACCTGTAAGCAAAAGACCATCAAACTATTACACATTGGATGTTCTTTTTTTTTGAGTAATTAAGTGGTTTATTTGGGACCTCACTGATTGTCAGGGATTTGTCACGCAATAATCTGACGGGCTCCATTCCTGACAGTCTTTCACAATCTACGTCGCTTGCACTTCTGTAAGTAACTAAATCTCTCGCAGTTTTACAGCTAGTTATTGCCTTATACGTATTGTAAACTGTTGGTGTCCTAAAATGTATATGCAGTCAAACTTATGTAACTTTGACTTTGAATACATGAAAAAGTATTCAAATTGATAGGGTGATTAACTGATCATACTTTATGTGGTTGAATTTGCGACAAAATGTACTCTCACAATTCATTCCTCATTTATTTTGATATCAAAATCCATTTTATTTCTTCTAGTGATTTGACAGGAAACCGGCTTACAGGAGAAATCCCTTCCAGGCTCCTGAAAAGAAGTCAAGATGGCTTCCTAACTCTCAGGTTAGTCCCCCACTAGTATCTGAATTTTCTGGAATTATTTTTGACTTGATTTTCACTGTCTTAGCTAAAGGCAGGCATTGGTTGTTAAGAATGTGGATCTATATATCAACTTTCTCATACTTTATTTTGCTAGATATGGTAACAATCCGGACCTCTGCAGCAATGGCAATCCCTGTGTGCCTCCGAAGAGGAAGAGCAATTCTATGGCTCCCGTATATGTTGCCATTCCAATAGTTGCAATACTGGTGATTTTGTTGTTTTCAGTGCTGCTCATTTGCATGCGAAGGAGAAGGCAAGGTGAGAGACTTGTCTGAAACATAAAAGTTTTTATGCCTGAATATAAGTATGTGTGATTAAGGGACATCGGTTAACGTGCTTGGTTTATAAAGGAAGAACAAGCAACAGTGTCAAGCCTCAGAACGAGATGCGCTTTATCCCATCGCACTCTCGGAACAGAAACAATGACAGCTCATTACGACTTGAAAATCGCCGGTTCACGTACAAGGAGCTGGAGGCCATAACAAACAACTTCCAGCGAGTGATCGGCCAAGGAGGGTTTGGAAAAGTCTATGATGGATTCTTGGAGGATGGCACCCAGGTGGCTGTCAAGCTTCGGTCTGAGTCATCTGCTCAAGGTGTACAAGAGTTCCTCGTCGAGGTAAGTTTTGCTAAAGTATATGCCATAGGAAACCATGCATGTTTTCTGCTCGAGTTGTTAATGCATTGATCCTTGCTGGTTCAGGCTCAGACCTTAGCTAAGATTCATCACAAACATCTTGTAACCATGGTTGGCTACTGCAACGACAAAGAACACATGGCCCTTGTGTACGAGTACATGTCTGAAGGAGCTCTACATGAACATCTTAGAGGTATGTAAATTTCTCAAGTGTGCACACTTGAAGAACATTAGTACTTTTTCAACTGAGAACTCTCTAAGATCCCAATGACTCAAAAGTTGAAGGAATATGTAACAAACATTTAATCCATCCGACAATGTTTCTACAGGGAGCGACAAAACTTTAACCTGGGGACAGAGACTTCGTATTGCCTTGGAATCTGCACAAGGTAAGCTTATAAATCCAGAATTTCTTCATGACTTTCCACCATAGCAAGCTCAAACTACATGGTTGGATAATGATGTGATGTGGATGCACGCAGGGCTTGAGTATCTACACAAGGGTTGCAATCCACCCCTCATTCATAGGGATGTGAAGACATCCAACATTTTGCTGAATGCCAACCTTGAGGCCAAGATTGCCGATTTTGGCCTACTCAAGGCTTTCAATCGCGATTGTGATACCCATGTGTCCACAGCCAGGTTGGTCGGCACGCGTGGTTACCTTGCCCCTGAGTAAGTGCACCGTTCTTAATCCTTGCTTATTATGCTATAACAATATCTTGCCACTTCCTAATAGCAGAACTAGTATAATTTCGGTCCTTGCTATGGGTGCTCTGGTAGTCTTTTCTTTTGGGTTGCTTTTGTTTTGGTTACTGTGGCCTGGTGCCTGATGATGGAGTTTGTAAGACTTGTGATACTTCCTGTAGGTGTTCGTAGTGCGGTTTTGGGTGACACCCAGGTTTTCGCCCCATGATCTGTTGTTCCTGATGACAGGCGCAGATAGTGGGTTTCCTGGTGTTGCTCCGAACTCGCTTTTCCTCTTTCTCTCTTGCCTTGCTGGTTTCAGTTCCTGAGATGATGTATTTCCGTTATGAAAGTAATGGAAAGGGGAAAAGCCCGGTTCAAAATAAAATAAAATTATATAGTTGTCCAAAAAGGTAGTACAATTCACTATGTTGTACCTTTTGTCCTAAGATCAATGATCATGACAAGTCATCCATTTATAGGAGATGTGCCAAACATTTCTTTTTTTGGAACTCAACTCACAATGCGTTTCACACTTTTGTAGGTATGTAGCAACATTGCAGCTGACTAATAAGAGCGACGTATATAGTTTCGGAGTAGTGCTGTTGGAAATAGTCACGGGCCGACCTCACATCTTGAATGATCCAGAACCTATAAGCATCACCGAGTGGGCGCAGAAATGTCTTTCACAGGGCAACATAGAGGGCGTGGTGGACGCACGCATGCGGGGAGAGCACGACATCAATGGTGTCTGGAAAGCAGCGGACATTGCTCTTAAGTGCACTGCACAAACACCAATGCAACGGCCCACAATGACCGAGGTAGTGGCGCAGCTGAAAGAGTGTCTTGAGCTTGAGACTATGCGCCGCAGGGGTGGCAGGTCAAACGCCATGTTTCACACAGTGGGGAGCAGCGACTCAGTTACAAGTTATGATGGTTACACCACTAATCAGTCTGCTGGTGTGAGTCATATCAATGTTGTAGACATGGATCATTTCGGCAGGGTCCCAACCATGACTACTGGTCCTGTTGCGAGGTGAGGAGATGACATGGATAATTTGTTCTCTCCACATATCCTCTACAAGTTTCCCTTTAAGAACAAGAATTTGATGATGTTGTATCATCAATGAAAGAGCAAATTTGTAATGCTACTTTATTCTTCTATGCATATCTTGCTTTAAAATACATATCATGCGCAAATGATATTACTAGATTTGTCATATAATATCAACTATCGTGAGACCATGCCAAGTAGGTGTGTCGAGGGCCGTCTCTAGAAATCGGAGGGACCCGTGCGAAATGCATAATGGGGACTAAAGGAAGAAAATCTGACCTTGAATCCTTGCTACAATGTGTAAATCTGATAGAAATTTTGGAGCTTGGAGTTGAATCCTTGCTGCAATGAATCAATCTGGAAGTATGGAAGTATCCAGAAGGTTCCTAGCCAGCTACCTTGACACTTTGATTGGTATAAAGGTAGATCTCTCACCTGATCCATAGAAAGGCAACTCTATTGTTGTATATGATATTGAAACAGTCAGGCCACGTGAGAGATTAGCTGCTGCTGTACCAGCCAAGTGGTGTTCCCGTACTGTTGGGTGGGTTAAGTTGAACGTGGATGGCTCTTATTCTGAGGATCACGAAGCATGTGCTGGTATGGTGCTTCGCAATGATAAAGGAAGTATTATCTCTCATCTTGCAAACAATTATTTTCGTGTGGGATGCGTTGGAAGCCGAATTGTGTGCGTGCATGAAAGGGCCAGTGGCGGAGCCAGAACTTTTGTGGAGCCTGGGCAAGCTTGAGCCTAAGGGGTCATTCGGCAATTCACTGCTCCCTGAAATTCGGCAATTCACTGCTCCCTGAAATTCTAGGATCTGCAGAGCACCTGTTCTCCCGCTCCCTACTTTTTATCTTCATCTCCACCAACTCCCGGAGCAAGAGTGTGGAGTTGGAGGGATGCCGAACAGGCCTTAAGTGTCTAATTCAGAAATCAAAATCAAATATTTTGATACACAATATATAAAATAGCCCAAAACTCCAGAACCACAAATGCACAATAATAATGAAGTAACAATATAAACATGGTAGTCGCGCAAATGTAATTTTAAAGTGAACTACTATATGATATATCAACATTCAATTTTATAACAGTTCGCCAAGTATGACACTCGGCATATACCCCATTTTGATAAAGAGAGCTTTGCCGAGTTCCTTTCCTCAGATACTCGGCAAAGTCTTTACCGAGTGCTAAAATGAGGTACTCAGCAAAGTAAACTAGGCTGATGACCGGCCGACGTAAACGACGCCTATCACATGGCATGTTGTGTTTGTCGAGTACCTTTCATTCCATGCTCGCTAAAGATGGGTACACCGAAGGGCGGCATGTCCTTGATTTTTGGTGAGTGATGTCTTCGG